AAAAAAAAATAGATCAAGTTTAGAGACTGTACTATGCCAGACATAAACGTTTAAGCGCTTAAACAGAACTCAGTGACAAATCACAGCCTCCAAACTTTTTCACCCCAAGTTTTTTTGTCATTTTCTGTCCACTTTATTACTTCACTTATTTGCATGAAATCAGGATGCTGGTGTTTAAAAAGTTATCTGTTCCTTTTACTTGTTCTCCACTGACTCAAAAGTCATTCTGTCATGTGGTTGCAAAAGAAATTTTCACACTGGAATTACAAAAATAACTAGTAAGTCTTTAGAAGGAAAAGGACCATCTTAAAAAAAATGATTAACAAAATTCTTTTCAATATAACATTTAATGATAAAAGTAGAAGCACTTTTAGACTAGAAAATAATATAAAATTTTAAAGGTATACATCTAAATAGAATAACTTTCTAAAGATGTTTTTTAGAAAGCTTTGAATGCAACTGGCCTGCTAACATAAGACTGAAAAGTTATTTGAATATTTTCAACTCAACTAGCTATCTTCCTCCCAACACAGTCAAATAAATCAGAATAGATTTGAAAGACCAGATATAAAAATCCATTAAGACAAATCAGAATTCAAACTTCAGTTCAGGGGCGCCTGGGTGGCTCAGTGGGTTAAGCCTCTGCCTTCGGCTCAGGTCATGATCCCAGGGTCCTGGGATCAAGCCCTGCATCGGGCTCTCTGCTCAGCAGGGAGCCTGCTTCCTCCTCTCTCTCTGCCTGCCTCTCTGCCTACTTGTGATCTCTGTCTGTCAGATAAATAAATAAAATATTAAAAAAAAAAAAAACAAACTTCAGTTCACTAATGGCATTAATTCCTAGATCTGGCACTCTCATAGATCACAACGAAAAATGTATACCAAACGTAAAGAATATCAAGTGCATCCTAGAGAAGTATGTACTTTTACACCAAATGTTACTCAACCAACACATGGAGTACAACACTGGAAGCACTTTAAGATAAGAGCAGTACTACTATTCTGTAAACACACTGATTGTGAGAAATAAAGGATATATATATATATATACTGTTTATTCTAACTATGGGTAGTCTACATATCTCATGCCAAGCCTATAACTATTTATTGTTGATGTAGTACAATGCCAACATAAAATGCTTTGTCTTCTAGATATAGCTAGAAACAGCGACAAGCACACCTAACAGACAACCCCTACCCAAAAAAACAAAAAGCATAAAAATCACTCTACTTTCCTTCAAGAAAGGACAATTTTCAGTATTAAAAGAGTAATATAGAATGGTAATATCATTAGTATAGGTCGCAGAGTCTAAAAGACTTGGTAAAATAATGAGTTAACAGTGAGAATAGATAAAAGTGTCCATCCAGCCAGATGAAGTTAGTATTAAATGTTTAATAGCCTGTATATAACCTTGAGCATTGGAACCCAATGACTTGGATACAAGCGCTTAAGGAGATAATGAATCTAGCTCAGTGTTTGTCAGAAAATATTACCAAACTTTCACGTCCTAGTAGAGAGCATTAAAAACACTTCTTGGCCCTGAATCAGAAAAGAGTTCTATTGGAGTTGATCCAAAAAACTAACTGTAGAAAGACTGGCAAGCCCAGGTGACTTGAACTTGGCCTGAAAAATTCAAGTTCCAAGAATGAACTTGTTATTCAATTGGTTGTGTCAAACTTTTGAAAGTTATTATGTTATCATTTAATTGCAAAATAATTTTCTAATTAACTTTATAAGTAAATTGATTATACTTGGTATATAACAAAGTTAAAATGTAATATTGACAAGAATATTAAACTTCGTATAATATGACTAACAATTAATTGTAACTGCTAACATTTGTTAAGCTTTTATTATATGTCAAGCCCTGGTCTAAGGACTTTACATGTATTCTCATATCCTATGAAATTGGTACTATAGGGACACCTGGGTGGCTCAGTTGGTTAGGTGTCTGCCTTTGACTGGGGTCATGGTCCCAGGATCCTGGGAACTAGTTCCCCGCTGGGATCCTCACTCAGTGGGGAGCCTGCTTCTCCCTTTGCCTGCAGCTCTCCCAGCTTGTGCTCTCTCTCTCTCTGAAAAATAAATAAAATATTTTTTAACTGATACTATAATAACCCCCATTATACAGGAAAGGGAGTGGAGACTCAGAAAAAATAAATAATTTAACCAAGATCACACATTTGGCAAATAGCAGTGTTTAAGATTACTGAACCATTTGCTACTCTCTTCCCATATGAATAGAAACTCGGGGGCAAAAAGGGGAGAGGGAGTAAGGAGTTGAAACTGGCGTTCCAGTGTATAAACTACAATTCTGTAGTTTTCAGAGAATCTTCATGCTGCTAATTTCACACATAGCCTCATTTTTAAAAGGTGTTAAAATGACTGATACATGTTATACACTGAAATAAGTATTTGTTGAAAAAACTGTGCTAAAGGGGAAATAAAAAATAATTAGGCCACCTTCTATCTCTAAAACATAGTGGACAAACAAGTTCATCCATTAATTTTGTTTTTATGAATAATACTGGTAGTTTTCTTAGAGACTGCTAAACAAAATAAGTATACTCTGTATACTTATATCATTGTCTAAGCTGAAGAGAATGGAAATATAAAAATTTTACAGTATATTTTCATTCACCAATATTAAAAGAAATCCTGTGTAAAATAATCTGTGAAAATATGCTATAATCTATATAAAATATAAAATAAATGCATATACAATAGGATTCAAGATAAATTTTACATCACAAATTGGTTTTATATTACATTTGGTTAGTCAATGACTAGAATGCCACTTCAGAAGAGCATTATTTAACCTGGAACCATGTACCTTCCCCACAGAATAATCAATGAAGAAGGCTGTAGCACTTACATTTCTAGGACTTTTATGAATGACGCTCAGAGCTCATTAGTTATGTGAGTATTCTGCACATAGTTATTTGTAATAGAAATATTTTATTTTATTTAACACTTCTGGCTCCAGAAGTTAAATATCCTAAATTCCAAATATCTCTCAAGTTACCTTGTTACATTGCCTGAGTTTCCCACTGCAATAAACTATTTTAAGGGCATGTTTTCATAATTTAGAGACAACCTATGCTCTCCTCAAAATCAAAGTCAAGTCCACAACTTTCTAGGGGAAAAAGAAAGACCAACACTGTGAAAGATTCCAAAATGCAAGAATCTTAACCACTGAGCACTTATGCTTGTATCTTCTAACAAAAACCTCTAGCCATAAAAGAGTCAAAAGAAGTCTCATCTTCTAAAATGGAGTATACCCACGTTTGAATGACACACACGTTTAAGAGCTGAAATGCTAGTTAAAGGTCCCATTGATAAAGGATAAAATGTAAACAGTGATGCTAAAAAATGTTTTAATTACTTAATATATATTGAAGAGATCCCAGTTTTATATAGACAATAAAATATCACCTTCCTTTAGGCAACTTTTCTATCAAACATTTTACTGTACAACAAATAAAACTTTGATATAATTAAGAAAATTAGATTTTATCTACCACTACAACCTGTACTTTCTTTGCTTCTCTGTGAAATCGGTTTTCACAGGAAATCCAGCACTACTAAAAAAGACAATCTAACACTAATGCCCAGTGTGCTGTGTTTTGTCACCATATCTCCAAGGTTACTAGAACATACAATGAGCACCTTCCAATCAAGCTTGCACCTGTGGAAAAAGAAAAATTTTTTTTAAAAAAAGTCTTTTCCACTTCTCCAGTCAAAATAAAGTGCAATAAATTGTGTAGTTCCCAAACAGTAAGTGAATTACCAAAAGAAAGAGATACAATTAAAGCTGGTCTATTTCTATCATAAGCAGTCAATGATATTCTCCCCAACTCTACAGGCAAGTTTTGAAGCTTCCTGTGTCTTGCCAAAGAACGAGCGTTTGCCAAATGATGTTCCTGCTGCCATCCCAGCTGGCTTTTCATTTGTCCAAATAGCTCTCTAGTTGTGGCCCTGCTCCTTTTATAAGCGTCACTGATTTCCGTGCCGGTTCCATCCCCCCAGCGCCCGTGATATTTGGTGTAGTCCTTGAACTTGATCCACAGAGCCCCCTCCCGAAGCGCACTACAAAACGCACCCTGCCAAATGCTTTCCAAATCCTCACCCTCCTTCTCTCATTTTCAGAAAATCATTGCATTTCAGTCCCCCTGGAAAAGTGGACTCAATATCCCTTTTGCACTTGAGGTGCCCAGAAAAGAAACACAATCACATACACACACACTCACACACGCGCGCACGCGCAACGTCCCTTCTTAATCGCCGACCGTGACAGCAGAAGACATCCAAATCCTAGTTCCCTCCACCTTCGGCTGTTCAAAACACCCAGCAGTTACCGACAACTGGCGTGGGGGAGAGAAGTCAGGTTTCTGAGTGGATGGACACCTCCTTCCCACCAGCTGCTCTCATGCCCGGGCCCCTTGAGGAGCTCAGGAAGCACAGAGGTCCCTTCCCTCCTTGCCCACTGCGGAGAACACCCGTAATTGTAAGCTCCCGCGCCAGACCCGCACCAACTGGAGGTGATCCCGGCGTGCGCCGTAATGCCTCGATGCCAAACTGCCCTCTGTAGGGACACCACCGAGACCCACATAAGTTAACCCGCAGGAATTCCGTGAAGCAGAGAGAAGAGGACCTAATGCGCCCAGCTCTGGGGTCGCGTCTTTCCCCCGCCCTCCGCAGAAGGGAGCCCAGCGCCTCCAAGAGCACCGCAGGGTGAGAGCGCAAAACCAATGAAGTTAAGAAAGAGGACTGGCTGGGTGGGAAACGCTTGCTCCCGAGTTGAAGAAAACGGGAATCGAAAGGCAGATCGCCAGGGACGTAGCCGTAAACTGTGTCCACAGCGTGACGGGGCCGAACAAGGAAAGCCCCTCGCATTTACCGGTTAACCAGCCCCCGCCCGGGACACCGGCCCGGTCCGGGTTCCGGGCGGGCTCAAACCCCACCGCGGGTCGGCGAAGGGGCGGGGAGACCGGGAACTTACGGAAAAAGATGTACTCGGTGTAGCTGCTCCAGATCTTGTCGTCGCGGTACTGGTTGACGAAGGCGGCGGTGCCCGAGGAGTTACACGCCACCATGTGGAAGCCAGCCTCCGACAGGCGATCGAACGCCTGCTCCAAGTAGGTGAACTTGAGGTAGAAGCGGGACGTGTACTTCTCGGGCGGCCGGTCGGGGTCGCGGCTCTCGTTGAGCGTGTCCCCGAAGACCTCCTTGGCCAGCGCGATGCGCCCGCACACCATGATGCGCGCCACACGCCGGAACTTGGCGTCCGCCTGGTTGTCTCGCACCGTGGTGAAGGAGCCGCGGTAGCCGAGCGTGAGGAAGCCCGAGCGCTTGTCCGGCGCGCCGCCGCCGCCCGCGCCTTGCGCTCCCGGGCCCGAGGGCGCGGCTGCGGCCGCCCCACGCAGCAGTAGCGCGTCGCTGCTGCCCTGGGAGACGTTGTCCTCCAGGTCGCTCTGGCAGCCCTCGTCGTTGAGTGAGTTCTGCTTGGTGACCTTGGGCGACAGCAGCTTGACCAGGTCGGTGAGCTGGAAGTACTCGGCCTCGCGCAGGAGCCGCTCCTTCTCGGGGAAGTGCTCGGGCAGCGCGAGCTGCTTGTCCCGCAGATAATCCAGCACGTACCTGAAGAGGAAGCCGTCCCGGTCGATGAAGAAGCGCGCCCGGCTGTCCCTGGGCAGCTCTCCGCGGCGTCGGGCGCCGCCCCGGGGGCTGGAGGGCGAGAACATACTGGCCAGAGTGCTGTCCGGGACGCTGAGCAGCGTCGAGTGCTTGGTCACATAGACCTGGCCTCCCACATTGAGCTCCACTACCTCGGGGAAGGGCGAGGGCAAACAGGGCCCCGGGGCGGCGGCCGCAGACGCGCCCGGCGAGCTGGACGAGGAGACCATCTCGCTAATGGGCAGGATGGTGCTGCCGCCACTGCCCGTGTCCTTCAAAGCCATGGTCCCCCCGCCACCGGCCAAGTGACCCGGGAGAGCAGCACTTTCTCCTTCCTGAAGCCCGCGCCTTCCACCCACGGCAGCCCTCGGCCTTGGCGTGTGCCTGGTGCGCCCTCGGGCCGGGCGGCACGTTCCTTCGGCCGGGGCGTCCCCGTTCAGGGCTCGGGGCAGCGGCGGCGGCGGCGGCGCCCGGGCTCCATCGGGGGAGCGAAGCGCGGGAGAAGAGCTCCGCGGGCGCCGCGGCGGCGGGGAGGAGCGGCTGCTCCTTTGGGGTGACGGCGGGGAAGTGTGAGAGAGACTTGCGAGCGGCTCTTAGGCAGCCGCTGGGCTCCCCGCGGGGAGGGCGGGAGGAGGGGCCGGAGCAAAGAAAACTCGCCGCCCCAGCAGCTTGCTAGCGCTCAGCCAGCCCCGAGCGCGGACGGTGGCGCTAACTACTCCTCGCAGCCGGGGAGGCGGCACTGACGTCAAGCTCCGGACTGGGACCCGAGCCACAGCTGTCATTTAAAGAGATAGGCGCCAGCCGCTGGCTGCGGGGCTCCGACGCTAGGGGGCGGGGCGGGGTCAGAGCTGGGAGGAGATGCTGCTTCGCAGCCGGCGGGGAGAGCGGAGGGAACCGAAAACACTGGGGGAAAAGGACAGCCTCTCTCCTTCATTCACACCATTCCTTCCATCCATCGATCCCTCCGTCCCTCCCTCCCTCCTTCTCGTCCGTCTTCCTTGCCTGCCTTCCTTACCGTCCTCGCCACTGTTCACCCAGTAAAATTAGTTTGGTTGGGGAGGGAAGGGGGTGTTTTTAGGGAAGTGGGGGTACGCTTGCGTTAAGGTGGGAAGTGGAGCAGGGAGCGGTGGGCGTCAGGGGGAAGGTAGGAAAGTCTGTATTATAATAAAAATGCGAGGCTCCTAATCTGACATTACTACAAATGTTGGCGTGGGAGTCGTGATTGCAGACTACCCGGCACTTTTACCATAGTTTTTGAAGCAAAGGGGAAATGCCCTAACCTCTATTGCAATCAATGGTCATGATTGCATATTTAACTGCATGCGTTACGTATAACTGAAGAATCTAGGAAAATCTGATTTCGGCTCCAAAACTAATAAAGGATTGTACATAACGTAACTGTTTTCTTCTTTTATCTTTTCATTATTTGACTCATAGTAAATGCTTAATAAATGTTTGTGGAGGAAAAGACGCAACCAGGGAGGAAACTTGCTCTCTGTTCCTACTTTCCATTCCCGTTCAGTGCCTTCATCTAATCTCTCCATTTTCCTTTCAACTCACTGGGCAAGAGAAATGGCTTGTTTTTATTAGTCTTCTAAACCCAAGAGTCAAGCCACAAATGAAAATTATATGAATTTAAGCTCGCCCTCTCCACCTGTACATAGCACAGGTACAGTCTGCAAGATCAGCATTATGTGTGGTAGAGTTAGGATGGAGGTGTCTGAGAAGCTCAGTCTATTAACCACCAGACACTTTGATTTCAGCTCAGATCATGATCTCAGGGTCATTATCTCAGGGTCCTGAGATATAGTCCTAGTCCCAGGATGGCTGATTTAAGATTCTCCCTTTCCCTCTCCCTTTGTCCCTCCCTCCCTTAAAAAAATAAATAAATAAATAAATAAATAAATAAACAAATAAGTTACCTAGGATAACAGTGCAGATGAGAAATCTCCCTTCTTGTGGCTATCCACCTGGGGCATCTTTTTGTGTTCAAAGCCATAAAGAATCATTGATTGTACGTACAAAAGTGAAAGAGTATACTGTGGCACAAAGTAGTTTGTTTCAATGACTAGAACAATATTACAGATGAACTTTAACCACTAAAAGATAAAATAATGTCTAGTCTTTTTTTTTTTAATTCTATATGCCTGCTTAAGATTTCTTCTCTGAACCCATTAAAAAAAAAAGCACTGGATTTGAAATAACAGTACTAACCTCAAATTTTTATAAATAATACATTATTCTTTGGAGCGTTACAAATAACATTAATTAATTGATCCTCATAAGATACATCCACAGAAAATGCTATATCAATTTTGAAGTTACCTGAGACTGAAAGAACCAATGAAGGAACACAACACCTATCTGCCAAGACTGAGACTTAAAACTGGGTTTACGGTATACATCTTCATGAAATCCTCTTATATAAGCCTAAGGCCCCCCCCAAGTTTATAAATTGATCAAATTAAGAAGTAGAATTGGTTTTCACCTTATTCATTTAAAAGCTAACAGCACAAAGTATTTGGAATTTAAAATAATAGTTCTGGAAAATGAATTAATAGGAGCTTTATAACCTTTATAGATGAATATATAATAATGCCTTAAACCACTACTAATGAAGCCCATTTATCATGAGGGAAATATCCCTAATGATAAGTATGGTACAGCCCATAGAATCTCAATGAAGTGGACATATAATACATATGCATATGTATTTATGAATATGAGGTCTCCAATATTATCAGGTTAAAATCCATTCTAATTTTTTAATTACATAAGATATGCTTATAAGATAAATGGTCTAAAATTCATACTCTAAATGAATCATCTTAGAAATTCTTAATGAATTGCACTGTGTGCTGTATTGCTTCTTAAAATAATTCCTTCAATGTTGATTGAATATTTCTCCTTAATCCTTTCTCTCCTCATATTCCTCTGACTCTCACTCCCTCCCATAACCAAACAATCTGACCAAACTCCAAACTAAACATACTGCAGATCCAGGTGTCTTTTTTTTCTCTTTTTTTCTTTCTGCTAGGAAGGCCTTTCCTTTTCTACCAGTTCCCTAATCCTTTACCCTGTTTATCTCTTCCCTGAGGTCCCAGCTTAAAAAGCACTTTCTCTGGAAATCGTCAGCTTTTGACCAAAACAGGTGTTCCCACAGCACTCTGCACTCACACATGGGCAGGGTTTATCACACTGACGTGTCATTGTCTCTCACTAAATTGTAAGTATGTTATATAACCATATGCACTATTCTATCCCCAGCATGGTGCCCAGCCCATAAGAGATATAAAGTTTCTGTTTACTGAATGTTTACTGCATATAAATATGTTCATATCATGAATGGATGACAAAGCATCAACTTCTATGCTAGACATCAGGCTACACAATGAGACTGCAAGGATAAGTAAGACTCGGTCCTTCAAAATTCTAATTAGGAGAAGTGAGAACAGAATCTGATCAAAACAAACTCAATCTAAAAGAGGAGGGAAAACTAAAAAGAGATCTACACCATTGGAACAATCATTTTGATGAGCTGAGCAATCAACACCAAATACTGCACAGGCAGACCTCATTTTATTGCACATCACAGATAGTTTATTTTTTAAAATTGAAGGTTAGTGGCAACCCTGCATTGAGCAAGTCTATTGACACCAAATGCTTTTTCCAAAAGCATTTACACACTTTGTATCTCTGTGTCACATTTTCACAATTCTCCCAAAATTTCAAACTTTTTCATTATTATATTTGTTATGGTGATCTGTGATCAGTGATCTTTGACGTACTCTTATGGTTGCTTTGGGGTGTCCCAAGTCATGTCCATATGAAGTGACCAGCTATTCCTCCATCTCTCTCCCTCTTCTCTGGCTTCCCTATTTGCTGAGACACAACAATATTGAAATTAGGCCAGTCAATAACTCTACAATGGTCTCTAAATGTTCATGAGAATGGAAGAGACCCGTTCTCTTGCTTTAAATCAAAAGCTACAAATGAGTAAGCTTAGTGAGGAAGGCATGTTGAAAGTTGAGACAAGCTAAAAGCTAGGACTCTCGTGCCAAACAGTTAGCAAGTTATGAATGCAAAGGAAGCATTCTTGAAGGAAATTAAAAATGCTACTCCAGTGACCACATGAATGATAAGAAAGCAGAACAGCCTTATTGCTGATATGGAGAAAGTTTGAATGGTCCAGATAGAAGATGAAACCAGCCACAATATTCCCCTAAGCCAAAGCTAATTCTGAGCAAGGCCCTAACTCTCTTCAATTCTATGAAGTCTGAGAGGTGAGGAAGCTGCAGAGAGTTTGAAGCTAGCAGAGGTTGGTTCATGCGATTTAAGGAAAGAAACCATCTCCATAACATCAAAGTGCAAGAAGCCTTAAGTGCTGATGTAGAAGCTGCAGCAACTTATCCAGAAGATCTAGCTAAGATAATTCAGGAAGTGTCTACACTAAACAACAGATTTTCAAAGGAGACAAGACAGCTTTATGTTGGAAGATGCCATCTAGCTAGAGGGGAGAAGTCAATGCCTAGTTTCAAAGCTTCAAAGGGCAGGATGATTCTTTCATTATGGGCTAATGCAGCTGATGACTTGAAGTTGAAGCCAGAGCTCATTTACCATTCTGAAAATCCTAGGGCCCTTAAGGGCCCAGTAAGTGCTCTAGAAATAGAAAAACAGCACCTGGATGACAGCACATCTGTTTATGACATGGTTTACTGAATATTTTAAGCCCACTGTTGAGACCTACTGTTCAAAGAAAAGATTCCTTTCAATATATGATCACTCATTGAAAAGGTACCTGGTCAACCAAGAACTCTGATAGAGATGTACAATGACATTAATGGTGTTTTCATGCTGCTAACACAACATCCATTTTGCAGCCCATATGCAAGCTGTCATTTTGATGTTGAAGTCTTAATACTTAAGAAATACTTTTGGGGGGCACCTGGGTGGCTCAGTTGGCTTAACCTCTGCCTTCCGCTGAGGTCATGATCCCAGAGTTCTGGGATCAAATCCTGAGTTGGGCTCCCTGCTCAGTGTAGAGTCTGCTTCTCCCTCTCTCTCTGCCTGCTGCTCTATTTGTGCTCTCTCTGTCAAACAAATAAATAAAATCTTTTTAAAAAATGCTTTTGGTAAGGCTATAGCTGCCACAGAATAACGATTCCTCTAATGGATCCGAGCAAAGGAAAATTGAAAGTCTTCTGTAAAGGACTCAGGATTCTAGATGCCATTAGGAACATTTGTGATTAATTTGAAGAGGTCAAAATATCAACATTAACAGGAGTTTGGAAGAAGTGGATTCCAATCC